GGATTGTGGCATGGCCTTCCACCCAGGGGGTGATTTCTTGCTTTCTGTCTCTGTTTCTCTGTCTTTCTGGCGAGTGCATGCACCCTATAGCAAAAATCTCTCTTTAAAAAATGTGAGTGATGTATCCCATAAACTCATGAAAATGAAATAAATTGAGGGTCAGCCCTGTAGTACACCAATTAAGCCGTGCACAGTGTGCCTGATCCCACATGTCTGACCACAGTTATAGTCTCAGCCCCAGTAGCTTGAAAAACATGCCCAGGGGAACCAGCAGTTAGTGTAATGGCTATGTCGCTGGACTCCCACGTAGTCGACCGCGGTTCGTGTCCCGGACCCGGTGGCTTAAAACTCACGCCGGGCGCGTGTGCGTGCGTGCCCAAGATCCCGAGAGGAGAATGGAGGAGAAGGGATTGCGGCGTGACCATCCCCCCTGGGGGGTGATTTCTCGCTTTCTGTCTCTATGTCTCTCTCTGTCTGTCTGGCGAGCGCACGCGCCCTACAGTGAAAATCTCTCCAAAAAAAATTTAAAAACATGCCCAGTGCTTTGGTGTGCATGCTCAAAATCCTGATCGGATGAAGGAAAAAAGATTGCATCATGTCCACATGCTTTCTCTATTGCTCATATTCTTTCTCTCTCTGGCATGCACACCATGGCCCTGGTAATTAAAAAAAGAAGGTGAAGAAGAAGAAGGAGAAGAAGAGGGGACGAGCAGTTGGAGTAATGGCTATGTCGCTAGACTCTCATGCAGTGGAATGCAATTTGAGTCCCGAACTGGGTGTTCTTGAACTCACTCTGGGTGCATATGCGTGCATGACCAAGATCCTGAGAGGAGAATGGAGGAGAAAGGATTGCAGCATGGCCATCCCCCCTGGGGGGTGATGTCCTGCCTTCTGTCTCTGTTTCTCTCTGTCTTTCTGCCAAGCACACGTGCCCTATAGAAAAAAATCTCTCAAGAAGAAGAAGAAGAAGAAGAAGAAGAAGAAGAAGAAGAAGAAGAAGAAGAAGAAGAAGAAGAAGAAGAAGAAGAAGAAGAAGAAGAAGAAGAAGAAGAAGAAGAAGAAGAAGAAGAAGAAGAAGAAGAAGAAGAAGAAGAAGAAGAAGAAGAAGAAGAAGAAGAAGAAGAAGAAGAAGAAGAAGAAGAAGAAGAAGAAGAAGGAGAAGAAGAAGAAGGAGAAGAAGAAGGAGAAGAAGAAGAAGAAAAGACTAGCTTGCCAACTATACTATAAAGCCCTACCGGTGTAAAGGCACTTTTAAATTTTTTCTAACTACATAGTTAATATTTATTATACATTATGTTACCAAAAATCTAGTGATCAAAGCAAATGGGGTTTGGGGAGAAAAAAAATCCCTGTACCAATTTTAGTCTTCAGAAGTGACCATATTTGACAATTTGGTACATAGTTTTTCACACTTTATGAAGGTATGCGTGTGTGTGTGTCTGTATTTTTAACAAAAATATCAGCCTTTCCCATTCTAGACTGCATCGGGTCCACTTGTTGGTCTCTAAGACCTGAAAGTTGACAACTTTGCATCCGGGAGGCTGCTCCCTGCGACTCTGCAGTTGTCACCATGCCACAAAATGAATATATTGAATTACATCGTAAATACTATGGATACCATTTGGATTACCATGAGAAAAAGAGAAAGAAGGAGAAAAGGTGATTGGTCTGAAGGCTGAGCTCTATCATAAACAGCACCATGCTGAGAAAATACAAATGAAAAAGACTCTCAAGATGCATGAAAAGAGGAACACCAAACAGAAGAATGATGAAAATACTCCACAAGGAGTACCTGCCTAGCTGTTGCACAGAGAAGGACAGTCCCAAGCTAAAATACCTTCCAATATGATTAAACAAAAATGGAAAGAGAAAGCGGGAAAATGGGAAGTCCCTCTACCCAAAGTTAGACCCCAGAGAGAAACAGAAGTATTTATTAAAAGTTATTCAAACAAGAAACAGAAAGAAGAAGGCATGGAAGAGAATGGTTATCAGAGTCTGCTTTGTTGGAGACTAAATATGAAAGATTCATTAGGCCAACAGGCTTAAGTTTCAAGAAGGCCCACGTAACACATCCTGAACCAAAAGCCACCTTTTACCTGCCAATACTTGGTGTAAAGAAGAATTCCCTCATCCCCACTATATACAACTTTGGGTGTTGTCATCAAAGATAATGTCATTGAGGTGAACATGAGTGAGTTGGGCCTTGTGACACAAGGAAGCAAGGTTATTTGGGGGAAATATGGCCAAGCTACCAACAATCCTGAAAATGATGGATGCATCAATACTGTTTTACTGGTTTGATAGCAGTTGCATACAAATAACTCCTTGTAATTTTTGAAGATGATACACCAATCTAGAAAACCATCATGACTTATGTTTCTGAATATAGCCGGTCTTACATGTCTGTAGTCATCAAAGGATTATTTATTAAACTGCACAAAAACATTAAAGTGGCCTGGTTTTACAAATAAAAACAAGACAAAAATATCATAACTTATCAACCAATAAATTACTATTTGGTAACTTTTTTAAAAAGGTAAATTGTTATATTCTGACATGGAACAATGAGATTTTATTTGAAAACAGTTACAGGATAACACAAATATGATGATAATATTTATGCAGACATAAAGTATATAACTACTTCTGGGAAGTCTATTTTGCAGAGGAATTAGGTAATTTTACTATTCTCACAGTTCTTTACCATTTTAATTTTTAACCATAAACATCTATATTTTTACAATAATGTTTAAAGCCTGTGCAAAAGAGCCTGAATCACTAAATCAGAGACAGTATGATACTATTGAAGATAGAAATATAAATGATAAGCCAGGAAACAAATTTTGAAAGGGAAGAATATACAAACAGAACTGAACAAGGAAATAAAGGAAGCAAAAGTGAGAGTAGGCATGATATGGTTTTCAAAAGCATTCTTTTAGGAAATGGAAAAAAACATCATGCAATGACCATCAACAACAGGATATTCAGTCCTGCTGACGAGTTCTTTTAATGGCCCCATACAAAAAAAGGGCAAACAGAAGCCAGCACAGGGTCTGCCAGGAGAGGGCTGATCTGATGAGCGTTCAGTTGTTTCACAGTTTTCATTTTTCAAATCTCATTTTTTAAAATGTGCAAAGCAGCCATAAGTTTGGGGGATAGGCAGGAATGAAAAGCTAATGGAAGACAAGTGTTCCCGAGAAGTCCTGGTATTACCAAGTAACAGAGTTTTATCTGGAGATAACACGGCTCTCATTAAATCCTTGCATTCTTTAATCAACAAATTCTGTCACGTCTACCTACAACATCTATCTTGAATATACTTACTTTTTCCATTATGATCACCATCAACCCAAGTTCACTCCTGCCCATTTTCACATCTGGGGGACCCTGATTCATCTCTCCATTCCAACTCTGCTGTTCTTTTTTCCTCAAGAAAAGCAGATTAATCTTTCTAAAATGTTCATAGGATAAAATTTTCAATCCTTTATGTAGTTTCAGTATGTCACACAATCAGTTCCTTGCTCATTTTTCTTGGTACCTTTAAGGCCTCCAGTTGTGCTAAGATCTTTCTTTTTTTTTTTTTTTGGAGAGGTTTTTGCCAGGGGGGGCGTGCGCTTGCCAGAAAGACAGAGGAAGACAAACAGAAAGTGAAAAATTACTCCCCAGGGGGGATGACCACACCGCAATCCCTTCTCCTCTATCCTCCTCTCGGGATCTTGGACACGCACACATATGCGCCCAGAGTGAGTTTTAAGTCACCGGATCCAGGTCTCGAACCATGGTCGACTACATGGGAGTCCAGCGACATAGCCATTACACTAACTGCTGGTTCCAGATCTTTCTCACCTCATGTTTTCACATGCAATTCCACCCAAATGAAATGCTCTTCTTCCAACTCTGCGGATTTCAATTTATACAGACTTCTCCAACTTCCTCTTTCTCCAGTCTAAATTAGGTCACAATCTTGTACTGTTTTTAAAATTGGTCTCTGAATATCCATATATATATATATATATAGTTTATTTCTTCTGTTATTGAAAGAAATAAAGAGAAAGAAAGATACAGCACCCCCAACAATGTTCCAACACTGCAACTCTACCCCACCCTTTACCCAACCCAATTCATGGGCATGGATGTGCTTGGAGGTTCAAGAGGTATTCAGGAGGTCTCTAGACTTGAACCAGAAAACTTCCCATGTGGGACTGCCTTGCAGAGCATCACATTTACCACTTTACCATCATCTGACCTTCCCAGTTTGTATTTTTCTATTCATTTGTATGATACGGGTTTTATCAGATTTTCCCACTCTGTTGCAGCAGCATAAGGGCTACATGGGAGAGGAGCGCACAACACTACCCTCCCTACTCTTGCACATACTTTAACTTTGCCATAATAAATAGCTTTAACAATTTCTCCCCATCTAGGGCCAGCAGATGGCATGGTAGTTATGTCACTGGACTCCCACATGACTGATCATGGTTCGAGTCCCAGACCCGGTGACATGAAACTCATGCCCAGCACACACGCCTGCATGACCAAGATCCTGGGAGGAGAATGGAGGAGAAAGGATTGCAGCTTGACCATCCCCCCAGGGGGTTATTTCTCACTTGCCTTCTTACTGTCTCTCTTTCTTCTCTCTCTCCTGTGCTCTCTCTCTCTCTCTGCTGAGTGCACATGCCCTAAGGAAAAAAACCTCTAAAAAAGAAAAATTCCTCTTACCCTATAAACTAAAAACAAGTTATTGCCTCAATTACCCTAAACTTGTTTAAAAATTTTGTACTAAAAAATGAATTCTTTCTCATGACTCATTTTTATACTGTCTATATTAGAGCTATAAAATATACTAATTTGTTAATGACCATAGCTACCTCAGCCAAAATCCAGTGTGCTATTCAATGTGAGAGAACCAGATAAAATTCAGTAATTTTAAGTTTCATACAAGCTGTTGGCAAGAAACTGAGCTTGAAACTAACATCAGGTAACCTAGCAGAAAGTCGCCATTGTTGGTTACTAATATCTTTTATTTGAAAGCAGCATTAAAAAAGACTACAGTTATTATGTGAAAAGGTTCCTAAACTAGGAATACAAAAATTCTCATTTCTGGTTTGTCACTTTGGGTGATCCATTTCCCCTCTTTTTTCAGGGTAGGGATGGAAATAAAGAGGGCAAATTCTGTATTTTCATTTCAGATCTAAAATTCCACAATTTGGAAGAAAAGAAAAGCATTCATAAACAATACCTATGTTTACTTTTTAAAAATAAGTTCTTTTTAAAAAGGTATTCAAAATAACTTCTTTTGATTCATCCGTCAGGACACACAACAGGGATATTGTTTATACTAGTTGTGTCCACAAAGTCAAACATAGGAATTACTGCATCTCCTTCAGACGATCTGATACTATCATTCTTCTCTTCTCTGGAAACGTATTTGTGCAGCACGCTATAGTACTGTTCCTTCGGGTTGAAAGTATACAGCGATGAAATCTGCTGCCATTCTTTAATGCTTGGGGTATTGTTTTCCTTTGGATGCGAGCGCTCAAAGAAACATTTAACGTTCTCTTTTGCCAATTCAGTGGCATGCTCCTTGGCTTGACTTTTAAAGATTGTATGCTCTTGTTCTACATAGATTTTCCAGAATTTGAGCTGCATAAAACTAACTGGAGATAGACATTTGGCGACAAATGTGAAAATCAGAAGCACGAAGATCCCAGCTCCTATCAGGATCCAGCCCAGCACCTTATGGAAACACAACAATATAGCGATTTCGTCACTATTTTAAAAGAAAGTGTAAAACCCTCAGATAAAATTTAAACTACTGGCCTGCTATAATGATGAAAAAGTACGAGTTTCAGGTCTTACTCTTAGAGCAAGAACTGTCATGAACTTCCTTAACCTGACAGTACAGCTGCTTCTTGGAAAGTCAGCCACAGTCCAAGTCTAGCCAAAGGCCCAGAGAGGAGCCCCTAAGTCACTCCCTTAGAACTCAAAAAGTGTGGATTTCTGCAAATCCGGTAAAAGGAACATTCATTTGCAAGATTCACTCACATTCCATTGGCCTCCCCCCGAAGCTCAGCCCTTCCCAACCACATTCTGCGCCAGCGCCTGACCTGCGACTGAGCTTTGAGCTCCTTCAGGAGGTTTTGCACGTCGGATGCCTTCGCCTGATTGCAGGGCACCAGCGGCAGATCGGCTGCGCAGCTGGGGTCACGGCCAGAGCACAGGCGCGGCGCCAGGGAAGCGATCCCGCTGGCTGCGCATTCGTAGAAGGTACCCCCGAGCAGCGCCACAGCCACCCAGGTGAGGGGCGCGACCGCCGAGGTCGCGGTGAGCTGCAAGCACGCCAGGAAGCCGCTCCACCCGGAGCCGCAGGTCCTGTGGGCGCCCGACATGCAGCAGCCGGTCAGCAGGCGCCAGGTGCGCGCGCTCAGCGCGTAGCCCAGAAGGAAGAGCGCCAGCGCCGGCACCAGCAGGAAGGCCAGGCTGTAGCGCAGGTTCCAGGATGCGCTGCAGGGGCACTGGAACACCACCGCGGAGAAGAGGCGCTCTCCGCCTGCTGTCAGCAGGGTCACCAGGCCATAGCTCAGTGCGTTGTGGTGCTTGCGTTGCAGCTCCAGCACCTCCTTAAACTTCTCCATGGGTCTCCCACCCTAGGACACCGCGTAGAGGTCCAGATGTGTCTGCCTTTCCGCTGCCTTGCTCGTCAATGGTTTGGGAGGTTGCGGTCTGGGGTTGTTCACTCTGCTGAAAACAGCAGCTTCAGAAAAGGAAGAGGCCTTCTCGGGTCTTTTTAGGTTTCATTTTCCCATTTCCACCCAGCCATCTCTGGTTAGCTGACAAGACACCCTTGAACTTCCCGGACCCACCCTTAACAAAGGCAGAGGCCCTGTTTACTCGTCTCCCCCAAATTAGGAACTATGCCATAAGAATCACTTGTCTCCCCCAATTTAGGAACAATGCCAGAAGAATCGTTTTATTCTTGTATTGCCTTTGTGGCCTCCAGTCTGACTAGGAACCAGAGGACTTTTCTGACCCAGTGCAGCCAGTTGGACAAACAGGGAAAAAATACCAGACCAGAATTTCCTTTATTGCAGGCACTCCAGTCCCAATGCCAACTCCCAATAAGCTCAAATAATTACTAAAAAACTGGTCACTTACAGGAAATATTATCCAAGGACAAATTTCTAGTTTTCCTTTCATCAGCTAAATTTCAGCAAAGCCAAGCTCAAGTTATGTTAGTGTCCTGGGAAGGCTCTATGAGGAGATGACGTTTACTGTGAGTTACAGAGTCTAGGGTACAAAGGAGCTTGGTTGGAAAGAGGGCCAGAGGGAGAGGGTGAGGGTGGGATGCAAGGTTAAACATCATGAAGACAAAGCTGCAGGTAGAAGGTCACTTTTTTTTTTCTGGAGAGGTTTTCGCTATAGGGCATGTGCGCTCACCAGACAGACAGAGAGAGCAGAGAGACAGAAAGCGAGAAATCACCCCCCAGGGGGGATGGTCATGCCGCAATCCCTTCTCCTCCATTCTCCTCTCGGGATCTTGGGCACGCACGCACACGCACCCGGTGTGAGTTTTAAGCCACCAGGTCTGGGACGCGAACCGCGGTCGACTACGTGGGAGTCCAGCGACATAGCCATTACACTAACTGCTGGTTCCCGGTAGAAGGTCACTTTAAGGGACTTCATAGGCCAGAATATGTAGTGTGCAATTCTGTCTCTGAAAACCATCACCGAAGGAACTGCATCCTGGCATATTGTCCCATCAGCCTGTATCTCCAAACACCATCTCTCGGGGTTGCAACGTCTCTGTTTCTCCAACCACAGATACCTAGACCACGATGGTCATTCTGTACTGAACACAGGTTTCTATAACCTTTGAGAGTCTAGGTTCTGCCTAGCAGCCTCAATTTTCTCCCAGCAGCTGCCAATGAGTCTAGTATGCTGCCATTCTCTCCTCCCACGCCTGGGTCAGAGGAGGGCTCTTGCTCTAGGTCTCTTATAACTCGCCCAGACCTCCATTCCCAGCTCTGTCTGAGAGGGCAATTGTGCAGAACTTGAACCCTCCTTACTAGAAACAGACTAACATCCTAATGGTGTGGAAAGAATTCAAAAATTTTCTTTGAGAATAGACTAAATCATATTTAAGAGAACTTTATATTTTTGAAAATCTATGTTTCTCACACCAATTTGCTTTCGCTTTTAAGAAATGAGTTTGTGGGGAGTGGTGCAGCAGCTGGTGTGGTGGTTAAGGCACTGGACTCTGACATGGCTGACTGGGGTTTGAGTACCGGACCTGGTGGCTTGAAAATCACACCAAGTATGTGTATGTGTATGTATGTGTCAAAAATCCTGGGAGTAAAATGAGAGAAAAGGGATTGTGGCATGGCCATTCCCCTGCGGGATGATTTCTCATTTTTCCTGTCTGTCTGTCTCTGGCAAGAGCATGTGACCTATGGCAAAAACTGAAGGAAAAAGAAAAACAAAATATGAGTGGGCTTCATTCTCACATGAAGCACACTGGAAAACCAGTGGTTATGGGTCTTGTTTGGTTTTCTCAGACTGTTTCACTTTGTTTCTCAGCGCTATCATTATTGGTGTTACAAATGGGCTTCAGAAACCACCAAACACTTCTCAGAAAAGAAAGTAAAAGAAACTCTTGAAAGAAAGTATGTACCCACGTACCCATGCTGCGAGCCTAAAAGTTCCTTGCAAACATCTTCAGGTGAGCTAGTTCTCAAACATTATTCTCTGTAGCTGTGATGGAAACTCAGAACAACAGTATGACCCTGCTTATAGTGCTGCTATTGTAAATTCTAGCAACATATCAGTCCTGGCCCTAACACCACCGAAAAGAGTACAATGAAATTAAGACACAAATATCTTAAATAGCCATTTTATGTAAGACACGATATCAGATGCCCAAATTAGCAAGTTAATTTAGGAAGTCTGCCACTCTTGTTTTTAAAAAGATTAACTTTCTGCACATTAAATGTTGTGGGTATGTTGTTTATGTTAAGTAATACATATTTTAAAAATAATTATTTATTTAATTCTATTTATTGTTATTATTTTTTAATTTGACCAGACCGATACAAAGAGAGAAAGGGAAAGTGAGAAAGCAAGCCACCAGGTCCAGGACCCAAACCACAGTTGACCATGTGGGAATCCAGCACCTTTAACCACCATGCCACCTGACGGCCCCATTCCATGTGGGAATCCAGCACCTTTAACCACCACGCCAGCTGACGGCCCCAGAAAGTAATGTATTTGAAAATCTGGAACATGTCATTATCTTGAGACTTTTGAATGCTTATATAAATTCTTCTTACAGAAGTACAAATTAGAAAGAGGAGAAAGATCAAACTTTATTTTTGGCACCAGAGTGTCATTTGTTAACTAGCAATCCTGTGATATTTCAAATAACCCTTTTACAGATTATGTTTCCCCTCTTAGCACAAATGTCCTAAACTTATCACAAAAGCTTAAGGATTCACTGATTTCACAAACTGATATTTCTTTTCTTGCAGCAGATAATTGTTTCTGGCAAGCACACATGCCCTATAGCAAAACAAAACAAACAAACAAAAAACTGTAAACAAAAACATTGCAGGCAACGTATCTACATATCCCTTATAGATGCATAAGATATTTTGCAAAGTTCAAAAATATTTTGTTTACCTCTCAGAAATAGTAGAAGAGGGTGAGAAGCTATAGTATATCATTCTGTTGGATTTTATTTTCTAAAATATAAATTAATTATTTCTACAATTAAAAAACACTGGGGACCAGCAGATGACGTCATGGTTACATCACTGCACTCCCGCATAGTCAACTGCAGTTCAAGTCCCGGACCCAGTAGCTTAAATCATGCGAGGCACCCATGCATGCATGCCCAAAATCCCAAGAGGAGAATGGAGAAAAAGGGATTGTGGCATGGCTTTTCCCTCCTCTGGGTGATTTCTTGCTTTCTGTCTCTCTGTCTCTGTCTCTCTGGTGAGCATATACACCCTATAGGTAAAAAAAAAAATTCTCAGGACCAGCAGTTGATATAATGGCTATGTCACTGGACTCCCATGTAGCAGACCGTAGTTCAGGTCCCGGACCCAGTAGCTTAAATTCACGCAGGGCGCATTGCAATACTAGGTAGATGAAGCATTATTATCCATAGTGTTGAAAAAACTTAAGCGGGTCCTATACAAAACAGAATGCAATCCTCAAGGCTTTAGTATAAAATAATACCATAAGAATACAAATATACCTACAAAGTTAAAATGGAGAAACTGCATTACTCAAAAGAAAAAAAAAAAAAAAATCTGACACAGAATGTTGTGATTTAATGCATAAACTGTACCAACTAAACCAAAGTTGTTACTGAAAGGGTACATCTGCTCTCCTCTGGAAAGCCCAAACTCTGACCCATGAAGCTGTCAAGGAGGCAAGGAGGTTTTATTACAGGTGACATTATCAGAAATGTCAGGGGGCACATGTGCTCACTAGAAAGAGAGAGAGAGAGAAAGGAGGAGAGTGAGAAAATACCCCCCCATGGGGGATGGTCACACCACAATCCCTTCTTCATTTCTCCTTTTGGGATTTTGGGCATGCAGCATGCATACGTGCCCAAAGTGTTTCTCAAGCTACGAGGTCCAGGATTTGAACTGAATTTTGGGATGTGGGCACATGTAGGGCCTTTTTCCCTTTCTTTCTTTCTTTCTTTCTTTCTTTCTTTCTTTCTTTCTTTCTTTCTTTCCTTTCTTTCTTCTTTTTTCTTTCTTTCTTTTTTAATAGACTTTTTGTCATAGGGCCATATGTTCTCCAGAGAGAGAAGAGAGAGACAGTGAGGAGGGAAAGTGAGAAATCACCCCACACCATGCCCAGGCAAAATGGCCATGCTGCAATTCCTTCTCCATTCTTCTGAGATTCTGGGCATGCATCCATATGTGCCCAAC